AAAAAAAAAAAAAAAGTAATAAACAAACAAGTGACCAAGAAAGGTGTGTACTGACCAAGAAAAAAAATAAAGTAAACTAAATATGATTATTATGAAAATTGGAAAAAAAAAAGGCATGTAAAGCAAGAGTAACAACTAATAAACAAACAAGTGACAGGGAAAAAATTAAACATAAAAGCTCGTGAAAATACAAGACCCTCCAGCTGGAAAAAATAACAACCTAGTTGCGAATTACTAAAACACAGAATCTAATATAAACTTCCAACATCCCCAGTTAAGTAGAACAATAAATGTGCTAAAAAGGTTAAAACTTCCAACATCCCCAGTTAATATGGAAACTCTTGCATGCCTAACAGCTTGTCAGAAACGGGTAATCCTGATATGATACAGACATTATGAGGTACAAGCAGATATAGAAATGTTAATGCAGTATCATGCACAATTCACAAAAGGGGCTCTGTGTTCTGCCACAAAATAAAGAGTTTTAATCTTCTAATAATCAAATTTCTACAAAATATGCATGTAATATGTTTCAACTTATTTCTATCTAGAAACTATCTCTTCAAGATGGCAAGTGCAGAAAAATTAAACTAGATTAGCAACAAATACCATAACCCCGCTGTAACAAAGTACCTCATATCCATTTTTATTATCTAATATTTTCACTCGCTCCACAAAATTATGCTAAAGAAACCTAACACGGATGATACATATCCTTATGATTTCAATGAAGCTCCAACTCCTGCTGCAACCAGAGAATCCAAATACAATAACAAGAAAGCTAGTCATCATAACAGTAAGCTACATTCATAAATTTCAATTATGAAACTGAAAAACTGTATCCAATAACATAACAAAAAATGGGAATTACTAGAAACACTTAATGAAAGCACCATCCATGTGGCGGTATTAAGTTGAAACCTCCCATGCCACCTTTTCAGGCCTTGATATAGGAAGTTTCAATCTAAAGCAAAAGAACTCAAAGGCAAGTGGCCAAAAAAATTACCAGCCGTAAGGCAACTTTTCTGCAGTTCTCATTGCCACCATCATAAACACCCTTGAGAGCTGCCGGAAGAACCTTCCAGAATTCATTCACAAATTCATTGCCCTTCCGCCTACTATTTTGCAGGATGTCATTTGACAAGTATAAAAAGGAAACTTGCTGCTGGGACTGTGCAGATTTGAATAGCTTTTCCCATGTTTCAACCACTTGCTTGGCTTTTTTGCGGTGAGATATGCACCACTTCGACACAGCTGATTAAATGTTAAAAGCAAACATCTCTATAAGAGAAATCTGAGTCAAACATATGCAACACTAACCTTATAAAATCCCACCAAAACACAATATATCACGATAAAAATGAATACAGCTATTCTCGACTTTAATGAGATTTTTAGAAACATATGAAACTTCCCACGCATAAATATCGAAACAACATCAATTAATTGTACTGTCTCATGTCTACTGAGTCAAGAATTATGGAACCGGAATGGTTCCAGATTTGAAAAGGCAATTATCGCCACTATTATGATAATTATCGATCTTCATTAGTTTGGATTTGGGAGTCCCCTTTTTTTGGTACATATCACTAAAAATGCATGAAACTAGATGAGTAGCATTCATTCCACAATTATGGTATAAGTTCATCCCGCTGTTTTACACTAGTAAAAGCTGGACACTGTTTTTCTCCAATTGGTTCCACTACACAATCTAATTGTGCATCCATGTTCTCAGGATGAGAAGTTGACACAAGCCATGAGAGAAACAAACATTTCCAGATAAAAAGATAAAGAGCTTCACGGGTTATAAAAGATTGTAACTAAGTTGGCCAATAAATTTCACTCGGTTGCCTACATCATGATGTGATTGGGATTATCATCAAAACTATGTGATGCATGTATACAATAAGCAAAAATAAAAACTCAAATATATATATATATATATAAATATATATATATAGAGAGAGAGAGAGAGAGAAGAAGATCATCCAACTCAAACACAATCTTCATGACATTCAATAACTTGGTGAAAATAGAAATTTCACAAAACAAATAAATGGAACTCTGGTTTGTTTCTTGTAATAAGATTAAAGCCCCCTGAAATGAAAGAGAGTCCTCCCGCTAGTGACTGATGCAAATAATGCTAAAAGTACCCAGAACAAAATGTGACAGGATAGAGGAAAATTGATCTTATCAGCAAAATATGAAAATGTTGAAACATGTGTGCCATTGTGGCACTTTGTAGTAATTCACAAATTTGTACGCCCCTGTATAATAGACATCTTACTCAGCTCAGGTAGCAAGGATATAAAACTTTCATTCATTTCTAAAGGGTTTAAGACAAAGTTTTGTGATATTAGATGTTATGCAGATAGTTGGATATTCTCTCAGCTGGATGAGTAACTAAATGAAATCTTCTCGACAACAGTTGGTTGAAACTCGAAACAAAAAATTGGTTGAAATCACTGATTCACATCATCTTTACCATATAGCTACTGGAGGGATGTCCCTTAAAAAAGATAAAAGTTCTCAAATAAAATACATAAAGTATGACTTTGGACTGAGTAATAATAAAATGTACATATCCACTCCAATGCCATTAAATATGGTACTACTGTTGGACACTGCAAAGCATCCATAACAATAAGTATTCTGCCTGTTTTGGATGCTAAAAAACCAAAACAAAAACAAATACAAAACAAAAAAAGTTAATTAATAAATTCAAGTCTCAACTCTCAAGGAGAAAGGATACATTCAATGCTTTGCTGAGAACTATTGAGTTTCGAGAGCTTCTCAGTCAGTAACTTGTCGTTGAAAGTATCATCACCCATTCTGTTTGGATAAATCTATTTATGCCAACCCACCTGCAATAATAGATGAGAAGTTAAATCCCAGAAACAAAGAAAGCTAAAATTGGGTACTTGGGAAGTGAGTATTAGGAAGGGGAAAGGTGGTATCATACTGTTTTAATATTAAAAATGATATTATATATGGTGAAACAGTTTTCCGGTGATACTATATTATTATCAGACTCGATCGATACTTACTAGAGAAACTAATCTTTATTTTTCAAGTACCCCCTCTCTACATGAGTCATGAAATCAAGGCTGACATCAGATGGATGCTTTTTTCTCCCAGAAACTATTTGTCGCATACACTCATGTGAATCCCCCTACACGACATATGCACCCATATAATAATTGTGTCTATTGACAGATACCCTGGCATTCTAATTCTGGAGCAGAAAACCTAACATGATTTGTACAGATCAAGCTAACAAAGAGTTCAGGTAGAAATCCAAACTGAGTACGCTTTGCTCAAACTGTACATAAAATCAGCAATGTAATGCATTTGAAAACCCCATATTCCTCTCTATTTTCTAGCTCTATTCCATCATGAACTTCAAATCTATTGTTCTTTTCAACTTTTTCCTCCCACCTGACCCCAGGCCCACCCCTCTTTCTCTACTTATCCGTAACTGAAACGATTTCGCACCATGTTGTAGCAACAGGTCAAGCAATATTATAGAGAGGCTATGCCTTCTGGACATTTTATTAAGGGAACTTGAACTATTATTATTATTATTATTTTATTTTATTTTTGGTTCAACAAAATATTAAGGGCGTGAGTGGATATAAATATATACATACTCAAACACAATCTCAACTCAAAGTCTAACTCAATTTTAACTCAATCCCCCAATCCTCATTATTACCGATATAATTAATTTATATCAACTAATCATCCTTACACATCACATCAACTTTAATTCACAATTCATCCACTCACATAATTTTAACTAACTATCACTTCAAATCACTTATCTCCTACTTTACATCAGATAAACTTTAATCATTTTATTTTAAATATTTATTAACTTAAAATCCACTAAAAACTAGCCAAACCAGCTTTTTCAATATTAAATCTTGTTAACAAAAAAAATCAGAATTGGATATATCTATATCCACTCGCGCCCTAAATAAAGGAACCCATAAGAAAAACAACTAAAAACAAAGTGAACAAAGTATGTTAGTAGTGCCTTTTTGGAACTTGAAATACACAACTTTTCCAACTTCCAAGGGAATACCTCCGGCGCTCCATTCCCTTGTGTTTTCCTTCTGTTAAAGTTAAAAGTTTTGCGTAGCCCCTATCCTCTCAACAAAATAAAAACTACCACACTCGAGAATAATTGATTAGCATACAAAAAATAGCAATTTCGGGCAATACTTCCTCAACCCTCGCCTTTTATCTCCCAATCCAACTGCAGCTACTTCCATCCAGCTATCAACATGTGCGCCAGAACATGCTCTATAAAATCTTCCAGTGTTGTGTAAAATTGTCATAAGCTGACGATGAACTTATGTTGCCATTCCAGATCATATAGTACACAAGAGCAGCCCATACCAAACCACTATCCGGAGTTCCGGACGCCAAACTACTCCGGGTCAATTCCTAGAAGACAGTGAAGACTGTTCGAATCATAGAAGGCCTTTTAGATTGGTATATTCAGAAGCAGGTCTTAAGGTGAGTTATACCCACGCAATTAACATTTAAAATCTACCCACGCAAGCAGTTCAGGAAATTGTGTATTGGAATCATTATAAGTTGTCAGGCCAGAGGAGGAAAATGGGCCATGGAATCATTATAAGTGACCAGAGGTGACGAAACAAGTAGGAATTTTCTCACCAGCGAAGGGCTTCTCTTACTTGGGGGAAAAAATAGCTACAGAGCCCATAAAATTTTGTTTAAAACTTCACAAACAGAATCAGTTGAGTTGTTGCGAGGGCACATTTCTTCGTTGAATGAAAAATTTAAGGGGATTCCATATCCCTTGTAGAAAATCAATAAAGGCACATTTCCTGTTACACACAGCAAGGGTTTTAGGCTGTAGGTCAAAGAAAAAATATATGATAATTGGACAAGCAACATTTTATGAACAAGCGGGGCCAGCCACAGTTGATAGTTTCAGGCCTCGTGAGAGGACACCAGAAGATAAGGCCAAACGAGGTTTGATGTACTTGAGAATCAGCGACAGAGATCTATCTCATAGTCAAACTCAATTACACTCCTCAGGAGTTGCTAAAAAAAGTTTTAGTCTAGTAACATGGTTAGGATCTTTTCCACTCTAATATCTTGATTAATACCTAACTTAACTTCTTTAGTTTACAATTCAGGGATTTGGTGCTAATCACAAGTGTCTCCATAAACACTTTACTTCAAAAGGCAAGGTCCAAAAGGTTGGGGCTTTCTTTTTCAAGTTTTGTGCTTTCATATTGATAAACATTTCACTTGTTGACTTCTGTTTCGGAAATCATATGAAAGGGCATTTTTTTATTTCTTCAGGGAGATGAAGGTATATTATTTCCTTTATTCACATAGTAAAAAATCAAAAGGTATTCGATACGGCCAACTCTGATCAAATGTAGTTCTAAGGGAGAATTTCTAGCTAACTAGAGATTAAATCATTCAATTGTTTTACGTCCCGAATAAACGAGGATGGCTAATACAAATCAACAGGCAAATGAAATGAAGGAAACCACCATTATCATGGTTTCCCATTCACTTGTTCCCATGTTCTATCTAAAGATCATTTATTTACCTTTCTACATGGTAAATTATCATTGAGATAATTTATTTAATTTATACTAGATTGGGAACAACTACTAATGAAAGGCTCATTGAGTCCTAAATATAGTCAATCTTTTTTGTATCCCCACCATGGAATAGTTTTCTAGACAATGCTTTCTTTTTGCACTAACTCTGTGAATATGGAATTGGATCAAAAGCATTAAGCATAAATAGACTGTTAATCATCTGACAAGCCAACATTTTCACTATGTGGGCCAAGAATCACAAGAGACTAAGAGAACATTTCCCATAAGCGATTATTCTAACTTACAGCTTACTCGTAGATTTATGACATCCCTCATGAGAATCCAATACTTAGAATATTTTACCACGGCCGTAGAAGACATCAAAGCTCAAGTTCTTACTGAGGAGATATCAACAAATGGAAGATCCTCCATCACATATTGGCAGAACAAAAGGCATTCGAGACCATACAAATAGACACATAGCTGACCAGAAAATTTACTTAAAGAGACTATAAAAATGGCAAATCTAAAAATTATGTAAACACAAACATTAATTCATTCAACAACGAACAGCCACTACAAAGACACGTATCAACACAATATTCAACATGCAGGCAACAATTCGGCATAGGAATTTGTTACCTCAAGCTTATTCTCCAGCTCAAACAAACCTGTCAGAAAGAAAACATTTGGGATTAACACTAACAATTACAAATACAAGGCATAATTCAAAATAAACCAAAAAATATCGAAAAAAGAGGGTGTTCATAAAACAAATCACAAAAGCAAAATAATTGCTGCAAGAGGTATGAAGGCCTTCAAATTTTTCGGATAAACAACCAAAGACCACACTCCACTTGGTAACATCTACATATTTAGCATGAAATTTACCATAAATTCACATGAGATAGAAATTGCTCATATGCATATACAATACCTGTATGTATAGAAGCGCCGGCTGCACAGGGAGCCGAGCCGATGTGGTGAGCTTCGAAAAGGTGAATTAGATAGAAAACCCTCGACAATGAGAGTCCACAGGTTGTCTCAGAGAAATAGACAGGGGTTAGAGTGCAAATAGCGTATATATTACGGGGAAGTATTCAAATACATGTGAATTAAGGGACCCAAAGATTAATAACATAAATTGTGCAATATTGTTGCTGTGCTGTCGAATTGTTCCACAATTACTGTTTTTGCCCTTTTGTTTTCAAAATCCATAATTTTTTCAATTAAAATAAGCATTATTTTCCATCAAATTCAATAAATAAATAAAGTTAGAGAAGTAATATTTTTAATGATATAAAATTATGTGATTCAGAGTAATATTTAATTTAGATATGATGGAAGAATAACAAAATTATGATTGATGAATATGTAAGTTGATAAGTAGTAAATTTCAAAACTAAATATACATCAATGATTGATTTTTAATTTAAATACAGTATTTTTTTTTTGTACATTTAAATACAGTATTAAAAACATGTGAAAAAAAGCGGCTAAAATGAGTAGTTGATTTTTTATTTTTTTTTAAAGCTTGGTGTTTATTTTAGATGTTTTATTTTCAAAGCATTCTAAAAAGTCCAACTACTTTTTTCAATATATTTTTACAGATCTATAGGTATTTAGTCACATTCATTATTCATGAAACGATAAATAATTTATTAGTTAAATTATCGGCAATGAAAGAATAAAACTCGAAATTGTTATTTTTATCAAGTTTATTTCTTCTCTTGCTCGTGTTCATTTTTTGTACTTGATAAAGTCGAACATGAAAGTTGCATGTCAAATCTCAATTGGGTATTCGCCCGTCGAAGGCCTATTTGAAACTGCGACATTTTTTGGAGGTAACACGCAGCTCGGTAGAGCCCGAACAGCTCCCGGTTAGTCCCGGGCTGATCTCGATCAGTCCCAGGCAGCACTCTAGCAAGGCCCGAACAGCAACAAGAAAGCCCAGATACAGTAGCTTCAGGCCCAAACAAAAACAACAGCTAGAGGAGCAATTTTCAGCAATTAAATAACACTAATCACCTTCACCTGGGCAGCACTTTGTGTGTATACTGCTGCCACAAACAGAACACCAAATATGAGTAATAAACATAAATTGGAATTAATCAAGAGATACGAGATTAAGAATTACGCCCTTTTACGTAGTCGTATTCGGGATCAACACGTAAAGTGTTGATTACACAGGCTCAGGGAGCCTGACAGGTCCCGTGTAATTATGCTTACACGAATCACAAACAATCTAGCTCCGAGCCATGGCCATTCAATCCTCCGGCACCCGAGCCTTTGGTAGCACAAAGGAATCACCGGAATACTCACTAATAGAATACACAAAGTACTCTCTGATTTTATGCCCTCCCTTTCTACTCTTATTGTTTTTCCTTCACAGCAACACTCACTTAGCACTAAAACTAAGCACTCATTTTCTCTTCTCACACTAGCAGCACACACGCTAATCACACACAAAGCACACACAACACTTTGTCTTTTATTTTGTACGCAAACAGCACAGCACACCAGGTTTGCTTCCCTCTGTTTTCTTTTTTCTACTTCTTTCACACAGTCTTTAAGATGTGTGCTTTTAGTATAAAGATGTCCTCAACATCTGAAAAACAAAACTACAACATCTAATGTAAGCCACAAAAAAGATTGTTCATATTATTCAAGATATGAACAGTAGTTGAAACATTATTGAGATTATATCAACTCCCAGAACAGATTGCTATAATCGACCGAAAGATTGTAGTCGAAAGGAGCAACATTAACGATCTCACCAAAAAAAAAAAA